TCTAAACATACATAGAACTATATCCAGTAGTAGATGTATAATTAGTGAGTTTGAGTGCAAAGTCACCGTTCAAAATCATGAATTTAGGTGGATACGTTTTCAGAATCGGTTTTTTTAAACTATGAAATAACGACGACGAAAAAACGCAAAACTAGCAAACTAATTAGATATATAAATCAATGTTTGAATTAATTATTTCGTTTTCATCATTAGATTGAATCTCTTATCAAAAGTCGTCTTTTCAATAAAAATTCCAGAAAATCTGCAGAAATTTTTTTAAATAATGAGAGATTATAGAATAAGATTACTTATTTTCTATAATAAGAAATAATTTTTATTTTCTCAACCTGTTCCTAAACAACTCTTAGTGTACTGCACAATTTTGTTTAAATTTTTTGTCGTCGTTATGTAATAATAAAAAAAAACTATTCTAAAAACGTATCCACCCAAATTTATGATTTTGAACGTCGACTTTGCGCTCTAACTCAGTAAATATACGTCGCAGAAACGTTTTATATGTCTCAAATGAATCCTAAAAAATGTTTCCACAAGACTGCATACTCAGTTCAACCACCATACATTGCCAGTCACTCCCATTAAGGATTAACTAGTTAGTAGTGACCCCCTTTTACTTTTAATAAAAACATCCTTTAATTGAATAAGATTTTTATTTAATATAAAAAATGTTTATTTTGTGCTGCTGATTAATTGTGTAAAGTATAATGGTAAAATATTTAAAATTTACATTTACATTTTTTTGAATAAATGTAAAAAAGGATATTTTTTATCACCTGAACCATAGCATCGACTCCTTGGCAAAGATGAGTGGAAAATCTAATAAATTGAATCAAACCCATACATAGAACTATATCCAGTAGTATCTAAACATAGAACTATATCCAGTAATATCTAAACATACATAGAACTATATCCAGTAGTATCTAAACATACATAGAACTATATCCAGTAATATCTAAACATAGAACTATATCCAGTAGTATCTAAACATACATAGAACTATATCCAGTAGTTTCTAAACATACATAGAACTATATCCAGTAGTATCTAAACATAGAACTATATCCAGTAATATATAAACATACATAGAACTATATCCAGTAATATCTAAACATACATAGAACTATATCCAGTAATATCTAAACATACATAGAACTATATCCAGTAGTATCTAAACATAGAACTATATCCAGTAGTATCTAAACATAGAACTATATCCAGTAATATCCAAACATAAATGTCCTGTAGTATTCAAACCAACTACATCACATGAAGATAGTTAGGTATGATTAAATTCAGATTCAGAATTAAAATCAGGATCAAGATTAGGATTATGATCTGAGGTCGGAAATGTTGAATAGTAAATCAGTGGCCGAATTTAAAGAATTTGAGCGGTGGTTTAAATTTAAGCCGCGGTTTAAATATGGTTGGTTCCACTAAAAATTGTATCAAATGTTTCAAGATTTAAGTCGGCGCATAATTTAAACCGGGTTTTGGTGGATTTAAACCGCGGCTCAAATTCTTTAAATTCCATCTCAAGCTGGTTAATTTTTTAAGAGATTAACAGCGCACAAGTTTTTATCTCGGAAGAACTAATTTCTCTCGTCAAAAAAACTATTTACACCACTGCAATATATTCCTTTAATATCATAAAAAGATATTTACCTCAATGAATACACCCGAAGATGGTAGAAGTATTCCGGTAGCGGTTAAAGACATTACCGCCGGCGGTATACAGATTAACCAGGCTAAGGAGGGTCGGAGCTGGGGTGGACAGAAAGAATTTAACCTAAGTTAAAATATTTATTTATACTTTTCTTATTTGTTTTTTAACCAATTAACGTTCAAACGGTTATACCGATCCGGCCAAAATCTTTAGTGGGGCCTCACATGACCCTAGGGAAGGTTTGTGGATGGTAAAAATTAAAAAAATTTGCCTAAAAAATTTCGATTAAAAAAAATATATATTTATTACTTTAAATCAAATCATACAAATCTGAAATGCAAAAGGATTACACCATCAGGTGGAGAGGGTATAAGGAGCCGAAAATTAGAGACTGTTCAGTTTATTTCCTAAATTAAAAGACTTTTGCATTGATCCTGGTTTAAACTGAACCACATCAACCGTAAAAAGGGGCCGGCGGGGGGTAAAATTACCTGAAGAGAGTAAAAGATGCCGCAAGCCAAACTGGCAGTACATGCAGGACAAGAATTATGTACACTGCCGTCATCCAGTGTCCCATAGAACCGTACATCTAGAAAGAACTCATTAAAGGGAGTGTTCGTGAAAATCCGAATATCAACATTTTTTTTCTATCCAACTTTTCTGAAAGAGAAATTGTGATAAACAGTTCTTTAGACAATTCGCAAGAGTTGTTTTTAGATTTAATTCAACTTATAAAACTTACACGTACTTTTTACAAAATGCAATGATTTATTTATTTTAGAAAGTTTCATAAATATATTTATTAAGGTTTCCAAATTTTTGATAATTAACTTTCGCGAAATTTTGATCAGCAACATTTTTGAGAAATCTCTTTTGCGAAAATTTGTCGTAGACAATCGTGCAGCAAATTTTGCCCTTGGTTCAGCCTTTACAACCGAAATTTACAATTTTGTAACCCTGGTTATAAAGATTTCAAGCTGTATACCTGAACCGGCCCAACTAGATCTGTAGGCTCTAGAGCAGAGCAGTTCACCACATTAGATTCAGAACCAAACATTTCTAAAAATATTCGAATTTTTAAGAATATTAAAAACTAGGTAGAGTGCCCGGCGTTCAACATTTTCCAACAATTTTTAAAAGAATTTAAATTTTTTCTAAAAACATTTGGTTTTGCGGATTTTTTTTCAATGTTTAAAAATATTTTCATTTTTTTCATAGCCTAAGTCCAAACAAAACAAAAATTTAAAAATGTTGTCCAAACATCGATATAATCCCTGTTTTGTACTCACCCTGTATATAATAAAAGTTTTATCTATATATACACTTTGCTTGTCTGTCTGTCTGTCAGGGTGTCCGTGTTTATCCAATGACCGTCAGAATGGCTGGGCCCAAATTTTGTGTGGGACCTCACATGACCCCAGGGAAGGTTTATGGATGTTCATAATTGTGTTATATTGTACAAAGAAAAGATGCTCCCAGATAGAGATGAGCACGAAGCGCCCTTACACTGTACAACTGCTATGTTTCATTTTTATTGAACTATTGAAAATAAAACTTGAGACTAACTGTATTGTGAAACCACAATAATAACATGAAAACTTGAGACTAACTGTATTATGAAACCACAATAATAACATAAAAACTTGAGACTAACTTTATTGTGAAACTACAATAATAACATAAAACTTGAAACTAACTGTATTGTGAAACCACAATAATAACTTAAAAACTTGAGACTAACTGTATTGTGAAACTATAATAATAACATAAAAAATGTTTCTTTATGCTGTTTTAATGTTTTGTATTAGACCCCTTGTGAAATGGCATCAAATCACTTTATTATTTTACCCAATTTCAGTTTATGCGAATTTTCTACAATTAAAAAGTTTGGGTTAAAAAGGTGCAGGGCCTTGCGCTTTGGCTAGGATAAACGAGTCAAGAATGCCAGGGTCATTATCTAAAAAATTATGTTCGAACCCCATCATTCAAATTTATATGTTGATGCACAAAAAGTCAAATGAAAAAATATGTAAACTTCAATTTAATTGGTAAATACATTCTGCTAGAACATTTGGTCTGATTACGAAATTTTCAATTTTAGAAAATGTCAATTTTTAGATGTCTATGAGAAAGCTAGGAGTGTTAAGTATTGATTGCACTATAGAACTTAAGGGTCACTTTTTAATAAGCCATAAATTCAACTTTTTACTGTATTTGTAATTTGAGTGTTCGAAATACCTGCAGGTTTTTGTGTCTGCTTCGAGAGAGAAACCCAATATATGTTATCTAGTGAAGCACCAACAGACGAATGCTTGACTCTTGTCAACTATTTGACATTACCTCAACATGGTTTCTAGAATGCAAATAAAACATTTATCACTTGTTTTTATTACAAAAATAGCTAATAATATTTATTACATAATTTTTATTCTACAGAAACCCACCCTGTTTTTCTGAGTACTCGGCTTTAAAAGGGCAATGCATGACAAATCTGTTTACAGTCAAAATTTTTAAAATATCATCCTCTCTTGGTTGAAGTCTTTAATTCTAATACTTTAAAACAAATTTTAATAAAAGTTGGTGCTTTAGCTGATCAGTTTGTTTTTACTTCTATCATTATAAGAGCCATCCCTAACAGTTTTTTTTGATTCTCAATTGTGATATTTTTTTCTTTTTTCTTTTTCTTTTTTTTTTGTTCTTTCTTTCTTTCTTTCTTTCTTTCTTTCTTTCTTTCTTTCTTTCTTTCTTTCTTTCTTCTTTCTTTTTTTCTTTTTTTTTCTTTCTCTCTTACTTTTTTCTTTTATTCTTTTTATTTCTTTCATTACTTCTTTTGTTCTTTCTTTGGTTCTTTTTTCTTTCTTTCTTTCTTTATTTTTTTCTTTCTTTCCTTTTTTCTCTCTTACTTTCTTTCTTTTATTTTTTTTATTGCTTTCTTTATTTCTTTTGTTCTTTCTTTCTTTCTTTCATTGACTGGTTCACACGGGTAATGAGATGCATGATTCAAAGTTTACAATTTATTTTGCAAATCCCAGTCACTTGATTGCAATCAGCAGTGTGAATAGATTTCTCTTACTTCTCCCAGAGCACAATCCAGTTATTTGGTCTGTTAAAGGATTTTCAGGAATAGCAAAGGGATCATGTAAATTCAACGTTTAGATCTGTAAAAGAGGGGTACAAATCTGATACAATTTCTTATTCGTCCTCGCTGAACAATAAAATTTTATATTAAAGGAATCAGTTATTACTGCTGTGTGAGACACGTTTTATTCTAAAGGTTAAAAGGTCTTAATGAGACTAAAGGTTTTATTTCAATTGACGCAATCTAGAAAAACAAATAATATATTAATCAGATAAAGGTTTCAATAAAAGGTTCAATAAAGGTTGTGAATCGGGAATTGCTATTTTTGCATGGAGGGTCACTTTAAATTAGGCGTACAGTCCCTTTAATTCTCATCACCCAATGTTTGTATGATTGTTTATAGTGTACATTCTTATTCTTAACATCCTTCCGCATTCCACATTCCCTATCTAGATCCTTTATCAATTCTGTCTGCGGCCTGGGCCCGAAATTTAAGACAGAGTGTCGTCATGAAACCCAGTTTCGTGAATGGGGTAAGATCATCTTGTAGATATCAAGTTTTTGGTTAGAAGACCCCAAAAAAGAAACTCGGGAGTTTCGTTCAACGTTACTCTTTGAAATTCCCGGTCGGCTCTAAGTTGAAAATGTACCAAGGAAAGTACAACAGGAATTCCCATTACTGTAAATACTAGTTCATTTAAACCACCTTGCCGACTTTTAGGCAGCCAGAGCAAGTTAAACCGTTTACAGGGATAACCAGAAACTGTGGAATAGAAAGACGACATTAAACCAATACGAAGTGCATAATATAGCGTTATTACTAAGTTGTTACACCACTTGTTTAGTGAAAAAGGTCTGTTTGCAATCGGTCTGCATCATGTTATACATTGGCCCATTTATAGTAAACAAAATGGAGCTTAAAGGTCGACTTTCTATTCCTGAGTTTCCTTGTGCTACTATGATCCTTATATCTATATAAACTAACCCTTCTTCTTTACTTTTCTGAAAAAAATATGAATTAACAGACGGTGGTTATTTTAATTCTTAAATAAACTTCTTCCTCTAAATTTGAGCCTGCAGCTGTCCATTGTTTACATCATATTGTGTTTATTATTGTCCTAAACATATCTACGGGGGAGTGGGGGGTAAGCTTTCCCTGAGTTTTAAAGGCAAAGATGGCGCCCCCATACATATCAGAAAAATTGTATAGGTCTAAAACAATTGTACAAATGACTAAAATGCCATGATTTTATGTCTTTGAGATTCAGATTTCATTCTAAAAAGTACAACAGTACACACAAACAACTATAGAAGATTCTCTGCCCCCCCCTTGAAAAAAACAGTTGCGCCCTGCATATAGTAGAGTTTTATCTTATCCTGTTACCTTGACCATGAACTTGGCTATGTAACAACACAAAAATACAGTTACGCATTCCTTATACCAACAAAGCGTATATACGCATACACTTTAGTGTATACACAATATAGTGTTGTAGGTGTGCGTACAGTGTCTAGCGTATATCACTGATGTCTGAAGTCTGATAGACCGAAAGATCAACTGCGTGCACGCAAACAGACACACTCAAGAAAATAAGCAATATTTTAAAACATTATTTTACACAAGGTTCTAATGCAAGGAAAGTTATTTCGAAGGTATTTGCATTTTTGAACTGCAGTGTACTGTCTTTGGGCGGAAAAGTAAACACAAGACGGATGTCACAGCCTGACATGGAGCGCCATTTCCACAAAAATAATCAATGAAATATTTTGGTCATGGGAAACTATCATGTGATCTATCAAAATTATCAAAATTTAATGCTTTTATACTCCTCGGATACTAAACGAACACTGATGAATCTTTTCTTGTTTACAAATTCTGCCCAGAGAGAACTGGTTTCAATATGTACGCAGAGTATATGCGATTGCAATTAACTTTCCCTGCATAAGTACCTTGATTTTACCATTCTATCTCCAAAATAAATCTCATTGTAAATATTATATTTAGAATGAAAATAAATGATGTGAATATATATACAATATCTATTAATATAGCAATAAAGTGAAATGACTTTCTGTTTGCTTAACACTGAGATTATGGAATAGCTGCAATATATACTTTAGTATTTTTTCAGTATTTATACATTTTTATATTTTTATATTTTTTACTTTTATCTCTGTAATCTCTGTAAACTCAGGAATCTCTGTAATCTCTGTAATCTCTGTAACCTCTTAAATCGCTGTATCTTTGTAATTTCTGTAATCTCTGTAATCTCTGTAATCTCTGTAATCTTTGTAACCTCCAAAAACTGTGGAATCTCTGTAATTTTTGTGATTTTCTTAATTTTTTATCATTGATCTGTGTAATGAATAAATATCTTTAATCTTTAAAATCTAAAACATTTCACCTCTAACAACACCTAGTTTCAGGTAGTAGTTTCGGTATATATTTCTAGTTTAGTTCGGATTTCTAATAGCATTAGAAATAAGCTCATGATATAAAATTTCCTATGTCGGGGGGGGGGTGGGGAGCCCCCTTGTATTGTTTGTTACGTTTTCTTGGTATGCCCCCACCCCCTGCAGAAAAATCCGATTACGGCCCTATAGTTTTCGTAGATAAAAAAATATAATCTTTGTAGAGAACCCCTAATTCAACATTACAGAATTTAATTAGGAAAACTAAGCCATGTTTGTCGTTTTTGGCATGCTCAGACAAAAGTGAACCGTTGTGAATAGAACATGCAATTCTTTGAAATATAAAGGCACCAGAATATAATGCAAACCTTAATGTAGTTTTGCTTTTTTTTGACTTTTCATCAAACTGTTTAGAAGAGTTTTTATGTTTGAAAAAAATTACTTTTTTATCACTAATACATATATATTATATAATACATATATATTATATAATGAGAAACCAAATCCAGGAAAAAAGATTCTACATTTTAGGGTAAGCATAAAGGTAATCAATTGTATAAAAAAAACTTGACAATATATTATTGTTATTTTCGAAAAATGTATCTAATCATTGTACGGATCGGCAAACATCGACAAACAAAAAATCGTGAAATATAATAAAAATTGTTATCCTAAATTTATGAGATTTGACTGAAATTGTGTAATTAAACATTTTTTGAAAAAAAACATGTTTATATCTTTGTCTCTTTTATCATTTATTGTTTTTTGTTAAATATTTTTGGCATGTCAAGCACGACAGTGTCAATAAATAAACAAATAGTTTTTATTCAGCAAATGTTTCACTTTATTTTCCTGGTTTAAGAATGAGGTAAGAACCGAACTGTAAACTGTATGCTGTAAGAGGATGGGTATTCAAGTATGAACTGCATGAAACCAAGGTATATAAACCCCCCAGGTATATAAACCAGTTTAACGCAACACTGTGTAGACTGCAGGGGTAAACCAAATATCTGACAAAAACTTTAAAATAATTTTTAACAAATTTAAAAAATAATTTTGTGTAAAAATAAATGATTTTTCATATTTTTCACCCTGATATTTCTGTTGTGTTGAATGGTTTGGTTGCGAGTTTTCAACCATTATAATTTTACAGAAATTTTAACATTCTTGGGCATTAGATGGAATTCATTTGTTTTCCTCCTTTCAACGCATTCCTTCTCTCATCTTTACCATCTTGGGAACCAGGTATATGCAATTATGTTTTAGATAAGACTAGAGTTCTAGTATTGGGGTCAGTATGCTAAAACCATAATATTGGGGTCACTGCAACATCTCCTTGCGGTACTCCACTTTCGATATCTTTGTTCCAATGACCAATACTAGACTCTTCGTGAAATAACCAGTATAACTTAATACATTCTTAAGATTTTACCCAACGGAATAATTCAATATTTCAATTAAACCAATGTAGTATTATTCCCTCCCCCCGCCCACCCTGAATTAAATAATGTTTTCAAAGTTATTTTCAACCCTATTTTATCCGTTATTTAGGATTAATTGGACTAGATATATTGATGAATTTTAAATACCAGATGAAAACGAATAGGAAGGAATATAATGATAAAAAAGGCTTATTTATAATCAAAGATATGAATAGTGTAAACCTGGAGGCTGCATTCAATTCCATTTTGTGATGATTACAAATAATTAAACGTGAAATATTAATCTATATAACCATTTTGTGATGATTACACATGATTAAACGTGAAATATTAATCTATATAACCATTTTTTGATAATTACACATAATTAAACGTGAAATATTAATCTATATAACCATTTTGTGATGATTACAAAAAATAAACGTGAAATATTAATATATATAAC